ATCTTTATTTTCTCACTTTGTTTTCATTCTAAATATTTGCGTACATTTCCATTGTTATGCTCGAATTAACATTGTAGGCCTGCAGAATTGAAGTGCTACTTGTGTCATCATAACTGTATTTGCATGAATTGAATCAAAACAATAAAGAATACAAGAAATAATTTTGTGTAAATTTACTATGTATATGCTTTCAGACACTGACAATCAATTTAGTGGTAACTAAAACACCACTCGTAAAAATGAACACCTTGATTACAAGTTCAAATCTAAAAATATATTAATATAACGTTAGACGTAAGAAAATCAACTGTTTCTTCAGAATTTACCCACTACTAACAGTAAAAGATTAAAATTTTGTATCATGAGATCAGTGAACATAGTAATAATTTTTCACAAATTGCTTGGTAAAATATTCTGTCTTTTCGGTTGTTTTGTCTTGAGGTGAGTAAGCTGTACATTTACTTTTGACATCATCTGCATTCATAAACATGTACTGTAAATAAGTAGCATATCACTGCTGTTCATCAATTCACACATTCAGTCCCAGTGGTGATGATGATATTTCATCTATGATATATATTAAAAATTAAAAAGCACAAACAATAATTGCAGTCATTTTGAAATGTTCTCTCTAATTGGTGCAGATCTGTTGCTAAGCATTTTCCGCAATAAGTTTTTGATTTCAGCTGTGTTTAAAACATAAATAATAGGATTTAGCATTGGTGGTACAACATATGCCAGAGATGTACTGATGACCCTTGCATTGGGTGTGAGAGAAAGCAAGAGTTGTGCAAGGTATGTGAAGCATATGGAGAGGAAATATATCCCTACCAATAACAGGTGAGAAACACAGGTCTTCAGAGCTTTTAAACGTCTTTCCCAAGTTGTAATTTTGCTTAAAGCAAGAAAAATGCCCAGATATGACAGGAATATAATGATCATTGGTGCAATAAGGAATGAAGATGTGATGACAAATCCCACTGACTTATTAATGTTATAGTCATTACATGCCAATCTATACACTGGTCCATGATCACAAAAATAACTCTGTATCACAGTAGATTGACAGAATGAAATTCGAGTGATCAAAGATACCATCAAGGCCACCAAAAAAGAATTAAATGCCCATATTGCAGGGAAAACTAAAACCATACTATTATTGTTCACTATGGCATGATATCTTAATGGCAAACAAATTGCAATGAAG